ATTCCAGGGGGAAGTACAGAATTTTAGGATACAATACCTTATGAACTTATTCAAATAAGACTGTATGTTCTTCTTCGCCTTTTGAGGTATATGGTATTGTCGCAGGCTTACTGGATAACTCCAAGCTTTAGTTTGATGCGTATAGGTGGGATATTGCGAGCAAGTCCTGGTGGGATATTTTCTGCCCACACTCCTGGTATATTATACAAGGATTCATCACTCTTAGGGTTTTGACTTGTCATCACTGTATAAAGTCGCCACTCTTCTTCCTTTGGTACTGATAGTGTCATTATACCTGAGGGTCCATTAAACTTCAAGGATGTCGTTCCGTTAGGCAGAAATGTTATCTGTGCTTGTAACTTCGACAACAAATCCCGTCCTAGAAGTTGGACTGGACATTCAGGCATGTAAAGGAACTGATGTTTCACTACGTGGCCTCCCAGTGTACAGAGTCGACTTTTGAGAACCGGTTTAGCAGCACTCCTCCCAGTTGCTCCTATTACAGTGATAGTTCTTCCTGAAGGAGGAGCAACTAGGTCGGTTACCACAGAATTTTCAGCACCAGTGTCGATCATGAAAGAACTCCTTTTTCCCCCTATTGCTACATCGACCATAGGCTCCGCTCGACCAAGGGGGATGGAGCCCGGTCGGTATCAATAGTCCTCCATGACAGTGTCAGCCAAACCCACAAAGTCCCTATCTTCTCTTTCTCGCGGTCTCTGCACTGCTGGGTAATACCTATCCCCTTGAACGCTTCCTCACCTATTCCCAGCATTTCCTCCAGGGCCTCCTCTTCCTCTCACTCTACCTCTATAGTTATTACTATATCCTCCCCTTGTTCTATCTCTCTCATGTTGTTCCCTCAATGGACACTCACTCCTCCAATGCCCTTCTTCCCTACAATATGCGCATTGGTTCCTACTTAAAGGCTCCCTATTCCACTTATTCTCGCTTTTCTCGGTTCCCCTGTACACTTCCTTTTCCCTTCTATCTACACCAGCGATAGCTAACGCTAACGTATCTGCCTTCCTTCTCATCTTACGCTCTTCTTCCTTCTTCGTCTCTGTCTCCGTATTCATATAAACCTTATTTGCTATTTCCATTAGTTGAGTTATAGACATCCCTACAAACCCTTCTAGCTTTTGCAATTTTCTTTTAATATCTCCGTAAGCCTGGCTGACAAAGGCAGAGTTAACCATCCGGGAATTCTCAGGAGCCTCTGGACTAAAGGGGGTATACAATCGGTATGCCTCCAATAATCGGTCATAAAAGGCACTGGACGACTCATCACATTTCTGCAATACCTCAGCCGTCTTTGACATATTGATCGCCTTTTTCCCTCCGGCTTTCATGCCAGTAATAATGGCTTCCTTATAAGCTTTTAGGTGAATCATATCAGCACCATTAACATTCCAATTCGGATCTACGTTTGGGTAATGAGCTGCGGCCCATGCTACCGGGTTGGCCTGATTCTGTGCACGGGCCACTTCTTCAAGCGCGTTAATTACCGCCTGATTAATCCTTTCCTCGTTATTAACGAGTCCTTTCCTCGTTATTAAACAATGTCATAAGCAATTGCTGGCAATCAGCCCAAGTGGGATTGTGCGTTTGGATTATGGAGGTAATCAAATCTGTCATGGCTTGAGGTTTGTCTGTGTAAGAGGAGTTATGGGTTTTCCAGTTGAACAAATCCGTAGTGGTAAAGGGAACATAAACAAATACGGGGTCGGCATGTTGTAACTGGCCTTCACCATTAATGTGTGTCGGGCCCGGTGTCAATCGGAGAGGCATTTGATAATGTCGGGGTTGGAGGGTACCGGTCAATTGTCGGGTTAGTATGGGGCTTCGTTGAGGAAGGTCAGTTATGGGTTCCGGTCGAGGGGTAGTAAGACGAGGGGAGGGGGACGCTTTTTCTTTACTGAAGGGGAGGTTGGTTAGCAGAATATTCCGGGCCGGGCTGGGAGGAGCCTGACCAGGAACCAGAAATGACGTCAAATCCGGATAGGTGGAGTTAGTGGGGGTAGGTACCGGAAGGGGAGGGTTTAGAACAAGTGGGCCGGGCTCTGAGCTAGAGGATGGGGTAGGAGGAGATAATGGGGCAAGGGGAGTGGCATTACAAGCCGCACCTCCTCTTCCTCTTCCTGTAGAGGAGGAGTAAGGGGGCGGTAAAGGAATCTCTGACTCAGGGGGCGTGTCCAGAATGGGCGTGATCACGGCCTTGGTGGACAAACGAGTTCTGGCCAACCGGAGGCGGCATTGCTCCTCTTGGCACACCCTGATCCATTTTGGCAAGTCATCCACGGCCTGTTTCCAACAATCAATATATGGAAACTGGTCGTAAAGTTCCGGCCTACCAGATACAGCTATCTGTACACGCTGCACTAGATTAGGATCAAGACTACCACGTGGAGGCCATGCAACCACTAAGGCAGGCCATTCCCTGCTACATAAAGTAGTCAAACGTGTTGGAGACATTTTTACCCCAAAATCACATACATTATATCCCTTTTTAAAATTCTTTAACATGCAATCTAAGGGATCAACGATCTTTGAATCCAACGCACCCATACTTAACAATGGAGCGTCGTCTCCAATAGAAACAAAACAAAACACACTTCCAACAGTCACACCCGTTTCCCTTGGCAACAGCACCACATGGCACAGTTACTAGGCCAAACGCACACAACAAATCATACAGGGAATTCCCGTACACACACAGCTGTTATACCACACACTAAATAACTATTACTGTACCTTTTTTGGCGAAATTATACAATTACCCACGCTATAATTCTCAGTATTTAAATTACCCGTCTATAACACACCCTAGTAACATCGTCTTTACAAACAGTAGTTATAGTACGGTTAGCATTGGTTAGAATACAATTTTAAAGTCACAGGTCAGTTAATAGTAGTTATGGTGTTAAACATACAACATAAACGACAGTTATTAGTGATTATTTACAGTATCAGTGATTATAATACATGGTTATGGTACCGTGCGCTATGATACAGTTACACACTATTCACACTCTCGCTAGATGGCAGAGCTAACGCTACCCAGCAAGATATACACTCTACTATAATAAATTTTAACACATTTACAGTTTCCCAACTAATCTATTGGACAGTACCTCGAGGGACTACCTAAAACTATTTACATCCATTTTGGTTAGCCGTCGCTGCCCAAGCACCACATATAGCGAACTAGAGGGCGGAATTTACAACAATACCCTTTTAGTCTATCTACTCTATCAATAGTCTAGTGGGTTCCAAATTTACACGCCTTCCCACTTAGCCAAGATAGGTTGAGAACGATAATGTACACCAGAGTCTGCTTAGTCTACCGGTCCCTCCGACCTAGCAAACGAAATGTACACCCTAGATACGCTAGTCTAGACAAAACACCGGTGTCCAGCTTGGGCTATATATATTCAACCAAGACCCAGCCTGACTCCATACCAAGATTAGACGGGCTGACTACAGGGCGTCTAATTATGAGCGGTGCGCCTTCGCTCCTTCCCTCCCTGGAGGGGGCCAATTCCATACACAATTCCAATTCAAACCCCTTATGGGCCTACCGCACAATTGGTATCCAATACCCCTAGTGGGTCCACCGTCTAAAACAGTAGTCGTCTTACCTGCTCGTTCCTGAACCTGAGTTCACACTCATCAACGGGGACACCCCAGTACTTACTACGTGGAGGCCGATGATCTCCTGGACAACAGACCAGTGGCGCCGAGACGAAGGGAGGTCCACGCAGAAGTTCAGGGGTGCAGCCGTAGAGAACGTGGGCAAAGATAGACCGTCTCACGCCTCTGCTTCCTAGCCACCGTTAATGATGAGCTTCCCGGCCAATGCACCAAAGATGTTACCGGGAAACTGACGGAGGCCAAGCACAGAGAGATGGACACAGATTTCTTCAGGAAGGAAGAGATCTTTATTCGATTCACCGACCGGGACTCAGAGAGACTTATGTCACCAAAAACAGCAAAGATCTGAGCACTGAATACATAGAGTACATTCCTTATATAGCACTGTAGCTCCTCCCATAATTAGCTACGCCCACACATACCCTTAACCTAATCAATGAATAGAGTCTAAACTCATCCATCCGGTCTAACCACGTGGCTCATCTGAAACAAAGGAGAGGGACGCGTAATTCCAGTTCCTGCATTCCTGCACATGCTCAGTACAGTGATGACAGTATCTTAGCTACGTGTAACTAACTAACTGATACTACAAACACATGTACCTACATATGCCTTGTGGCAATCCTGGCCTGCTAAACTTTTATTTTACTGGAATTCCATCACAAAAGCTTGACTGTGGTCTCTGAGGACCACTTTGACAGGAACAGGCTGCAGTGATTTTATCCAAGCTCTGGAGACTTTCTTTCCTAGAAAGCAGTGATTATAGTAAGGCAGCCATTATAGCCCCTTTCACTTAAATGTTTATCCCTAACAGCTGCATTTTCATACAAAAGAATTAAAAGTATAAAAATATTCAAATATGTTCTGCAGCACCGTTGTTTAGTATTGTAAAGAGTTTTTTTCCCTCTTTTCTAGGTTTAGGTTACAAGGCTGAATTTATGTGTAGATAGATTGGCTAGCATTATGTTTCATAACTTTAAAGGCACACTATAGTCACCAGAATAACTACAGCTTATTGTGTTTGTTCTGGTGAGTATTTCCTTCATTTCCTTCAGGCATTTTTATGCAAACACTGCCTTTTCGGAGAAAAGAGTGTTTACATTGCTCCCAAAGGATGCCTCCAGTGACCACTCTTCAGATGGTTACTGGAGGTGCTTCTTGGGGCAGTGCTGCGCAGTAGGCAGCACTGCTGTTCAGCGTCTCCACGCTCTTCATGGAGACGCAAAATTTTCCTCATAGAGATGCATTGATTCAATACATCTCTATGAGGAGGTGCAGATTGTCCCTGCCTCCTTGCTGATTTCAGCCAATCCACTGCTTTCCCTATGGCAGGGGTGGGCAATCTGCGGCCCTCCAGATGTTTTGGACTACATCTCCCTTGATGCTTTGCTAGCATTATAAGAGATGTAGTCCAAAACATCTGTAGGGCCGCAGATTGCCCACCCCTGCCCTATGGAAAAGCATTGGATTGGCTAAAAATGATAAATTATTAAGTCACCAAGGAGGCGGATCGGGGGCGAGGCTAGCGCTGGCGGATCTGCATTGTTCTGGAAATTAGGGCAGTTTTAACCCCTTCTAAGGGGGCTAAGTCACCTACATTGTGTTTTTTAACACTATATGGTCAGGAATACATGTTTGTTTTCTTGACCCTACAGTTTTATTTTAAGTAATGATGTCCTGCAAGCAGCTCAGGCTATAAATTATAATAATAGTTTTTCTTCATGATTACATTGTAGTTGATGATATTTAGGGTGATAAAAAAATAATAATTTAATGATAAGTAACTAGTTAGCTCTTTGTGTTAATATATTTTATTTTCAGCTTTCTTTTCTTTAAGTAGCTGAACATCTGCAATTATGTATATTTCTGTTTATAAATTATTCCCAAAGCAGTTTAAATAGTTCTTACATATTTTCTAAGTTAAATTTTATTTAATATTAAATGCAAATCCATATTTAATTCATACATATTAATATCCGCCCTTTTTTTTTTTTTTAATTCTTTATTTTCGTGTGAGCATTAAACATTCATACGTGTTTAATGCACAACAGTAGACACATGCTGTTGTAAATATTACTTAGCACTTACAAGGTATGGTAAAGATACATTTCGCACACATTTTTTAGTTATTCTGGGCTGATATGGCATAACGAGATTTTGAACGAATAACATATTAAGGGTGTGGGACACCCGGGTTCATGGAACAGTGCATACAGGCAAGAGCCATAGGGTTGGTGAAGTATGTAGCGTCGGGTAAACTATCCTACTGTAGTAGCCGAGCTCAGCTCTGTATCGAGGGCTGGAGGTTGTGAGTGTGCTCTAGGGCGCCCTATGCATGGGTAGTATTTGTCTGATGAGTTAATGTGGCTCTCTTTCAGAGGGTCACGTATAGACCAGAGGCCTGCGCCCGTGATGTGTGTTAACTGTGGCCATGGAGCATAAGCTGTGTGTAAAGGGATAAGTCATAATAATGGTGACAGCTATTCGTAGTTGTGACCTGGTTCGAGTCGAATTGTGTAGGAGCTCTGGTTGTGTTATACAGCTGGGCTGGACCTAAAGGGTATAAGTCAAGCTATAGCATGGCTCTGTCGCTTTTAATACCCTGTTACCCACCGGAGCAGACAAGTGGGGCCATTTTTGGACTGCTTGTCTGCATGTTTGATAATTGCAACTTAAAATGCAACTGTTAAAAAACAAAAACAAAAAAAACATTTGCAGGTTAGGTTTCCCTAACAAGACTTAGTAAATAAGTATACAGATATTAGGCTGCAAGTAGGGAAGGTAAAGTCAGGTCTTGGTGCCTCTTCTCTCTCTGGGTATGGAGACCCCTGTGGTGTCCGCATTCCACAGTTGGGTGTTCAGCTGTGTCGCTGTGGCCTCGTCGTTGTTGGAGAGTCCCAATGCTGCCATCAATGCTGGGCCTTGTTTAGGGTCTGTGGCCTTGTAGTGCTAGCTGTCTTTTGTCACCCAGAAGATCCCTGGAGTCGATGCCTGCTGCTTGAAGTGGTTTAGTGTTTGGTTGCATATTTTGGCGCCAGAATAGTGTTGCCATACTTAAGTCCTGATAAAAGGACAGTTGGCAGGCCTCAAATTCAAAGGGAGTCTTTCCCTGGAGTCTTTCCCTAATGAAGTAAAGCAATTCTTCCAGTAGTAGGGTCTCCTGGACTCCTCTGATCTTGATGTTTTTAGGTCGTCCCCTGTCCTCCAGCAGGTTGACTTGCCTGGACAGGGTGTTTTGTGTGTAGTGTAGGTGTTGCACCCTTTCCCTCAGTGTTTCGTCGTCAGTCACCTGGGTGCACGCTGTCACTGCGTGCACTTCAATTTTGAGCCCTGCCAGGTCTGCTTCCCACATCTGCCTAAGATTTTGTTGCAGGCAGTGACGTACACACAATCCATGGGGCCCCGGTGCAAAACTGATCCAAGGGCCCCCCCCTCTCTCCCCTCTCCCTTTCAACCCCCCCGACAGACACACAGTCGCATACAGACAGACACAGACACACAAGCAAACACACACACACATACAGGTTTCCTACCTTTTAGGTGCAGGAGGGTGACTTTCACTGGGGCTCAGTGGTGGCTCAGGTTGATGGGAGCCAGCGTGGAGACGCTGAACAGCAGTGCTGCCTACTGTGCAGCACTGCCCCAGGAAGCACCTCCAGTAACCATCTGAAGAGTGGTCACTGGAGGCATCCTTTGGGAGCAATGTAAACACTGTCCTTCCTCCTGCGCTGCTCTCTGATAGCTGGGAGGAGTGACCAGGGCAGTCACTTCCTCCCAGCAGCGATCTCATCACAGGGGGCCCAGTCGCGCTGTTAAAGTGCCACAGCGCTGACTGGGCCCCATGGAAATCCATACCTATCGGGTGACCCTAAGAGCATGGGCCACTCGATGGGCTCTTGAATGTGCGGCCCCAGTGGTTTGCCGGGGGGTACCCAGTCGCAGGAGTTTGCAGGGAGGCTGGGCCTCCGGAAGTGATGGGCCCGGTCGCAGCTGCGACCCCTATATCTACGCCACTGGTTGCAGGCCTGTCAGCATGTCTTGTATGTCTCTTTTTGAGGCTGGGGTGCAGTCCTCTGTCACCCGCTGATGTTCAGGGTAACTTGGACTTGGTTGGGGGGCTGTCAAGGGATTCCCTTTCCTCTGAGGGCAGTAGGGATTCCCCGCAGGGAGTTAGGGCTCGCATTGCGCCAGGCGACTGCAACATTTGACTTATGTTGCACTGTGGCTTCATGGTCTAAAGGGGGCGGTTTTCGAGACCTGCGTCCCATCTCACCTGCAGGTGGCTGGCTGGAGTACAAGCCTTCTGAGCCGGGTAGGTTCCACGGCCAGAGTCCTCCAGCTATATATCGCTGTGGGGCGCCCGCGCGGTAGGCCTTGCCACCTCAGCGTCAATTCTTGGAGCTCGGTGTCAGAAAAAACAGCACCAGCGGTACACTGGGGTTGATGGCAGTGTGTGTGGCTGGGGACACTGCAGGACGCCTCTGATTTGTGCGGATTAGAGTTGTTGGCTCAGGAGCTCTAGTAAAGCACGTCCGCTCCGGTGTGGTGTCAGGCTCTGCCCCCCTCAGAGGTCCTTTTCTAATGACCTTAAACTGTGTTTCTTTTACTGTGAGAGGGCTGGGGACAGGGAGAAACTGTGGATTATGCATTAAAGTATACACATATGTTATTTTTAATCAAGTGACTCATTTTAAGAAAAGCATTTAGATTTGAAACTGTATTACTATTTATGGCTTGTTATTTTAACTACTTTTGACTTGTTTGACAATATTTATGTGTATGTTTTATATTGTAATATTTTTTATGCAAATTTATATTATTGTGGATGGAGAAATGTTTTCCCATTTTCATTCTGTACCCTTTCCCCTAGTTGATGTTTCCAAAGTTTTTTTGAAAAAAATATAAAAATTATGTTAAATTATTATTACTGGTATTTATAAAGCATCGACATATTCTAAAGTGCTGTACAATTCTGGGAAAAAAACATTGTACAGTATGGATAGACCAATACAAAATTAAAAGATGGCCCAGAGCGGAGATCTAGCCATTGAAGTTCTCTTATACAAAGTGCCTAGTTAGATAGCCCATAAGCTTACTGTGGCGAGACCAATCTCGCCACATTGCATTGGAGAAGCCTGGTTGCTCGCCTGCTGCCTTTGGACTATGGCCCCCTGTTAAAAGACATCTTTTTTACCTGCAGAAAAGCTTCATTCGTGCTTTTCTGCCTGGGGTTCGGTAGATTTGTTTGAATGTGTTATACCCCAGATAGGAATCCCATGGAGCCCATTCGTATGAAACTGACTGTAAAGACTTTGGCTCCATGGCGATTAAACTGTATTCGTGTGGTCTGAGCGCCATTCGCTTAATAATGTGCGCTCGGACCTGAGCTATCTGGGGATATGTTACATGTCTGTGTTTTATGTAATAAATGTGACTTTATGTATTTTAAAGTGTTTTGTGTCTTTTTGCAACCATGTGCTTAATGGAGTCTTGTGTCTGTCCTGGGAGATAATTGAATTACTCTCCAGGATAGAAGACTCTGAAACTGGTTTGGGCCAGAAAGCCATGCTTCATTTAGTCACAAAGGACTTTTTACTAACTTTTGAACCCCTGGTCTGATTCATGTCATTTTTTAATATGTTGTTCCCCTGAATGGATTGATTGTGTATATGTAATTTTATGTGAATGTGATGTATGGTTTTAGAGTTATGAAAGTTGGGTAGAAAGTATGTTTTAACTGTATGTGTAATTGAGTTTCCTCTCAGGATAAGGGGAGGGAATATATGGGATGTAACTGTGATGTGATTGGTTGTTTTATACCTCCCTGTGGGCGGTCCTGTATTTGCAAGACTGTAATAAAAACCAGGCTGGGTGTGCCAGCACCTCAGACCACTGCTTGACCCTCAACACGGAGCCTTGTCTCGTTCTTGGGGGGATTCACTGTATGCTGTTGGAGACTGATTGCCAGGAGTGTAAGCCGCTTGGGAGCTTTTCCTGTTCGTCTGCTGGCAGCTATTCGTGAGGTTCCAGTTCGGGAGTTGGAGTGCTATTTTGTATCCAGTTCGTGAGTTTTGGTGTTCTGCAGTAGCTGTGCCTGGATCTCTGGAAAGGGGGCCGATCGCCTAAACGGTTTTTACCCCTTGTGTGCAAAACGGTCCGTTACACTTACAATCTAAAGGTTATAAAGGGGTTTTGAGACAGGGTGAGGGGGATGGTAAGGATAGTGCCTGTAGTCACCAGAGACAGGATGAACAGAAACAGTCGGACCCATCATCTGATGAATTTAAAAAAAAATTTATGTCCTGCCTTAGCTTCATACTAATCTCACTAATCCCCCAGGCTGCCCGATAGTGGTTGGTACAGATTCCATGCTTGTACTCTATGCACTATGGATGCCAACAACTTGTGTACCTCCATCCTTCACAATGGGG